AGGGCGAGCTGACTGACGTAATGACAGTGTTGATCGTACAGCGGCCAGCAGCTTTCAGGAACACGTTTCAATAAGGGTCACGCTGCCATTGCTTGTTAAGGAATTAAAGTGGAACAAAAAAAAAAGGGGGGGGTTCACTGAGTCATGGTGAAATGACGTGTTTGAGGGAGCTCAACGGTAATTGTCACTTTGAATGAGTGTAGGGCTTCTCAGAATTTTGAAATGACCGGTTAGTGACCGCAGTGGATGGAGACCTGAAGGGGAGATGACCAAGGAAGAGTGGCAGCAGGAGAATGACGAGAAACCAGCACACCACAGCGGACAGGAGCGGAATCTGCTGAATCACTGGACTTCACATGTAAGGGAGAGCCCTCATTGGTGGAGGTGAGCCAGTATAGGAAGCGATTGCTTGTCAGATTTTCAAATAAAAAACATAACCTCTTGAGAATTTGGTAGGTTTTTCTTTAATGGAATTTAGTGGACCTATTTGTTTAGCAGACATGTTGTCTAAAGCCGTGAACTCAACTGACAAACTGCAAACAAACAGAAAGCAGAAAACCTTACTGAATTAATAACTCACACCCATCTGAAATGGATGCATGTCAGCATTTGATACCAAATAGGCGTCCCCAAAAGATGAGTCTTGACTTGGCTCTTTCGGAAAAAAATGGCCAAAACAAAAAAAAAAACTAAGCTCTTTCAACTTACAGTGCATCATCTTGTAAAAAGGTTTGGGGAGTCTGGGGAAATGCTGGAGTAGTGAGTAACGGCTGAGGTCAGAAAGCACCGCTGGATGCTCATGACCTCTGAACCCTGAGGCATCACGACTGGAGAAGCTGTCCTCCCTCCGTTGGTAGTGTTGCCACATGTGCCTCCGAAGCACCTTGGAAAACAACTGGCACTCATCAAGTCCACCAACACCTGCGAAAATACAACCGGAAATCAGGAAAAATAGACAGGAAGGAAGCCAAAGGATGTATTAAAGCTGCATGGAAATGCCTCTGTGTTCTCTGGCCATGCAGCCACCTCTGATGGTGGCTCTGATGGATTGTGTAGAGTAGATGAGGAAGGGAGTTGAACAGCCGCTGACCGCTGAATCTCAAGTATCTGTGTGTGTGTTTTTGTTTAAAGAACATTAAAAAAAAGAGTGACGATGAAGTCTTCTCTGCTCTTAGCATATGTAGGATTTTTCTATCTGGAGATTTATAGAAAGTTCTGGCTTTTTTTGGTCTTGTATGTAATACAGTGTTAATAGATCTGTTGTCAACCATTCACCCTGAGCTTTGAAAGGTATCGTCACTGTCTTTGCTTCCTGTGTGCCAATATAGAATATGATGTAAACTCCTCTCTTTCTCGGAAAACTGAAATAGCTCAACTATTTTCCTCTCCAGAGAAGCATCTGAACGCCTCACTGACTCACTGTTGATTTTTTCCATCGAACATTTTAGATCTGGATCTCCGACAAAGTACTCGCTGGTCTTTCATTGCTTTTGAAAGCTTTTTGTCTCTGCCCTTGAAATCCATTTAAGTGAGACAGCAGTCAGCATCACAGAAGCATCTGTTGGACTCTGCAGTCAAAAGCAATCAGCTTTGCGAGCAGGCATTTAAATAATGCTCTTTTTGAATGAATTTGATCAGCATTTGTGTAATAAATGTAATAGTGGTGCGTTAACTACCAGTCATTACTTATTTAAGTGTGACTTTTATAGCTATGAAATAACAATTTGGTGGAAGTGCAGCTATTCTTTTAGTACAAAACAGTTTACATGTTCCACTCTCCTTTTTTTGTGGCATGTTACAACTAGGCCAAGTCTGAACGCTTGAACATCTGGCGCAACAGGCTTCAGATTCCTTCTTTCACATGGGTGTCAGGAATGCGGGCAGAGACGGAAATCTGCTCATAAAAATTCGATCTTTTCATGTATCTGCTTAAACCCATTTTAAGTTGTCATTCTCAGACGGAGCCACCAGCTCAAACATTACAGCCCGTCTGAAACTAGATCTCCACGCAGGGAGCATTGTCCGTCTTTGACTTTTCCCCCATGATGCAGTGCTGCTGGAATGTTCCCTCTTGTGCGAGGAATGCGGCAGGAGGAGCACATAGGATGGCGTCTGTCTCAGACCCCTCTTGTCTTGCTCCTTCAGCGTTGGCTGATACTGTGCGCTTCCAACCGAATGCCGTCAGTCTGCGGGCCCAGTTGTGCCTGGCCTAGAAAAAGGGTTGCACTGTCTCTCAACTTCTGTTTCCTGTTGGGTCATACTGACATTCATTCAGTGTCATAGACTCACTCATTGTTCGGCAGATTTCTGGGGAAATCTGTCCATGATAGGTGATGCTGCTGCTTTCCTCGAGGCACAATATTTGATTTGTTTTGGATGATTATGACTTCATACTTCCTTTGTGCTCATTTCCACTGAACCCACTTAATCTTTTATTTCCTGTCATTGTGATGATAAACACACACAACTTTGTTGTCAAATATGGTCATCTATCATCTGCTATTTTCATTTCACAGTCAGAGAGGTTTTGGATGTGCGCTGCATAGATATATAAATATGTGGTGAAGAGAGGATGCATGAGACTGTAGATCAGAAGCCCCTCAGTACATCAGCATTCACACGCATGAAGAAAATGTAAAGGGACAACAACAACAAAAAAGGCTAGAAAATCTCCGGTTTGCTTTATGATAGCCTCTGTTCCCGTCCCCTCTGCATGTGTAACAGTAACAGCCTGCATGGAGACGTCCATACTTGCTGTCTTCCTCTCTATTAGACATCTTAGCTGTTTATTTTTTAGCACTCCCCCCCTCTGAGATGATTTCATTATTAATGAGACGTGGGGAGGGAGGCGTATCGTGTTTTGTATTCACAGGGAAAAGCAAAGGTTCCAGGGAGATGGCATCACGCAAAAGGAAACACTGCAAACTGCACGGGAAAGTGGGAGCGCTTTTCAGAGAACACCAACACAGAGTGAGGGCTCACTTCTTGGAAAACACCTCTGTGGCATGGTTTGATGCGCCATCTCTCTCCTCTACCACAGCGCACAGTCATGCTGTCCTTTGCAGCTCCTGTGTCATCACTGGGGCCGTGCGGTTTGTGAGGCTGCACGTCGGCATGTGGTCGTCATTTCCAGAACCATTAACCTTTAGCTCAACATGGGAACTTATTGGGATGCGTTTGCAGACGCTTGGAAGATTGGTATTTAGATTGTACCTACTGGGTGGGTGAAGGCAGTCGACATGCAGCTGAACAGAGTTTTTGACGTGTAACTGTCACTTTTCCCCCCTCATGTTTACACTTCCACTGTGGCCTGTTTTCTCTAAAATGTGCGGAGAAGATGTAAGACTGTGGCACAAATCGTCTTCCAGGGCTCCTAAAAGAAGCTTTCCCACTTTATTATTAGGACCCTTATGGAAGATTACTCTCATAGTTATAAATAAACACGGAGCTCTAAACAAGTCGTATTTTAACATCCCTAGCACATTACCACAGCAAACAGGAAAGCACAATATTAGCTGGCCTATACATCGCCCTACTTACCTGGTTTTATGTGTGTCACTACAGCTCAGCTGTGTGTTGTTGTGTTGCACAAAAGTACTTTGGTACTTTGTTGTCTCGATTGATCCTCGATGAAATATTAACGTTCATCTTCCTCAAACAAAAGGTAAATAAAGGAGCCACTTATTTCTACAAACACTAAGTCCTCACAAGTGCTTTTGGAGTTACTGTCTGTTTACTGTAACATTTACACATCACATGAAGAAGTACCAAGGCTGAACTTTACTGACTTCCTACCGCTCGTACCCAAGCATCACACATGCAAATGACTCATTTGTTTGATGGCGCAGCTTTTCCTGGCCACGCCATAAAAGTCAGTTTTTGTAATCTGTTCTTATTTTTTCTCTGCACATGTCATCTGTCGCTGAATCGGGTGGTTGAAATGAAATGATTGACACTGGAGGGATGTTTTCAGGCATGGCAGAGCTTAATGGTCACCCAGGGCACTGGCCGCTGAAGGGGTGCTGTAGAACAGCCATACCAATTTCATATCACAGGTGTTTTCTAGTTTTAAACTTGTCGTCAAGTGTTTTTTTTCCCCCCTTCGCATTGTTAAAAAGGAAAGCTGGCGGCACACTTAACATCTGATATGGAGGAGAAACAGCTGCAGCTGTGGTGTCTTTGTGAATTAGCAGGATTTAAGTACAATAGAATAAGATACGAATAACAAGATGCTGTAAATCCAGACGCGTTGCAGCTCTCCTTAAAAAGGCCTGAGGATGGGATCAAGAGCCACTAGTTAGGAACAAAGGATAGAGGTCCGTTTCAGAATTTGTCGGTACCTCAGCAGCTGCAGGCAGAGCCGTGTGTCATTCATATCAGTTTCAGAAACATTATCACTAAAATGAAGTCATCTTGTCTGATGTGAAGTGTTTGTATACCTTCCATGTGCATCAGGTCTTGAATTTTAAGTTGGTTAAGCTTGTATTTAAACAACAGACATGACAGAGACAGGTTATATCCCCCTGATCTCCATGGAAACCTATCGATTTATGCTCCCAGTAAAGCACAATGTAAAGAAACAAGTTCAATCATATGTGTGTCATTGACCGACAGCACTATATAAACTGTACACACAACGCAGTGTCTCCAGATATAAAAGCGACTTGATCTTGGCTGTGTTCACGATCAGGTAAAAGCCTTGCTTGCTTTGTTATCCAGTCATTTCCTTTGTGAACACTGCTGTCAGGCTTTTATTGTGTCTATAGCTTAAAAATCCGCTTGAACTCAAACTGTATTGCTCTGTTTTCTTGCTGTAAAAAAGACTGAAACATAGAAATGTTCACCCAACTAAGGAGCTGTTTAAAACAATACTAATACTTGATAAATCCAATATTAAAATTTATGTAACAGTAAATGAGCAAAGCACTCACACAAGCTCTCCAATATAGAATTTAAGAGAAAAAAATACATGCTTTTTCACCACTAAAAATGAACTCTTCATGTTTCCTTGTGTCTGCACACAGAGGACAGACCCTCAGCTCCTGGCCCAGTTCTATTACGCTGATGAAGAGCTTAACCAGGTTGCGACTGAGCTGGACAGCCTCGACGGCAGGAAGGACCCCCAGAGATGTACCCTGCTGGTCAACCAGTTCCGATCCTGTCAGGTCAGTACAGAGATCCCATATAGGTTTAAGACTAAGTTGTCTATTGCCATTGTATGACTTTTACATCACAAAATGAAACTGTATCGACATCGCCCTTGTTTTTCCAGACATGAAAGTGAACAGCGCAACGGTAGAAGATGATGATTAATGATATATACAATAAATGCAGGGATGTCAGCGCAAATTAGTGATAATACACAAAAATAACCTTTGAGTGGCGCAAAGCCGTTGAGGCAAATGAACCCTCAGCTTGGATAAAAATCTGAGCCACAATTTCCTATTCATATTTTACATCCCTTTCATTCACATAATCACCTTTTGATCAGAAAGCTTAAAATAGCCCGTCTTCCCATTATTCACTTCGTGATGTTGACATGATGACATGACTGTTGCCTCAGCAAACACGGCTTGACTGTATTCTTGTTAACCAGTGTTGCTGATAAGGTGAGATGAGTAAACTTTGTGCAGCCACTCGTCTACGATTTTACAATTCAGAATTATGTGTAATGTTGGTCATTTGTTATAATCTGTAAGAGCAGCTTTTATTGTCTTTGGTTAAACAAAGTGTTTTACAACATCAATTAAAGTCATTCAAGCAGAGTTACAGTGCTAACATAAATTGTAGAGAATGGATTTACAGCAACAAGTCAAACTGGCAACCCATGCTGCTGTTTTAAGTCTTTCTGTGGTTTTGGCGGAGCGGGGCTTAGCAGATGATGCCACGCTGGAGCGATACCTGCATGCTGCATCCCGCTGGTGGCAGGGGTGGAGGTTTATCTGGCCCGTTGTGCCTTAGCCTCCCACCTGCTGGCAGGGCACACAGGGAGGACCACTTAATAAGGTCACTACTCGATCCCTGACAGCCCCCCCCCCCCACCCATCCACTCACTCCTTTCCTCTGCCAAGCTGTCACCATGTTTTGCATTGGGCTTTGGCTCTCAAACAACCTGATCTGTTTTCAGCACTCGTGAATGAGCAGCCCTTGCTTGGCTGTGTTTGTAGCACCAATAATAATTCTGACAAGTTGCCTGGAAAATGTTTAATACCCATGGCTAATCACTTAACAGTTGACAAAGAAGGCTTTTCAGAGTGGGTTGCCTCCAAGCTCTCAGTAATTTCAGAAAATTAATTAAGCAGCATGATATCCGTCAGCTCAGAAGAACCTGTGTGTAAACAAGTCAACTTAAGCACGCTGGAGTAGGACCTTTCCCGTGAACCTCTTTAGCAGCCGATGTGCTAATATTATGCTGGCACTGCTCCTCACACGCTGTGGCATACTGGAGCCCACAGGTTTGCGTGTGTGTTGGTCAAGGATCGAGTTCAATAGAGCACAGAAAACAAAGGCTAAAAGACCACCGACGGCTTGTATTTTTTGTTTTGTATTGAGTCATGCGTGCAGGTGTCCCGCCATCACAAGTAAAAATGATCATCTGTGTCCTAGGAGACATGCGCAGACTATAATGTTGAACTCATCGTGGACGAAGACAGAGGACTCAGTGGCTTAGCTCCTCTTCTTTAAGCTTTGTAATCTTTCTCTTTGGGGCGAACAGGGAAAGTCCTGTGCCTGGCAAGATTACAGTGCACATCTGCGGATGGGTGAAAGGCTCATTGTAAGTCATGGCTGTTGTACATGCCAGAGGCACATAGGCTCATGATTACCTCATGTTGAGAATGACAACACCCCCCCCCCCCTTCTCTTTCCCCCAAAATCTTTATTCAACAGTTTACAGTTCAAAATGGTACCAACCCTTTACAATGCCAGTATTATATTTGGAATTTAAAAAGGGAACAAATCAAGAAAGTTGAAGTTGATCAAAACAGAAAGAAATTTGCTTGCATTTTTATCTTTGTGAAAATGTACAGATTCAGCAAATTTTTCCAGTGGGTTATGTTGTGCCTACATTTAAAGAAGCAGCATTTATACATATTAGCGTTTACTTAATATAATTAGATTTTTGATACCATATTCACTGCTACCAAGCTTATTTAATACCTCAAATTGAATTTCTTTCAAGTGACAGAAGATAGTTGAATCCCTGTGGATTGAATCCACATCTGAAAATCAATCCAAAACCTCTTAACTGTCATGCAGTAAAACAGTGTTCCAGGTTCTCACTTTCTGTTTCACAGAATCTAAAGTTCCCAATGTCTATCTTTAATTTAGTCAAAAATGTTGGTTTACATGTAATATCAATGTTCAAGTGACCCTTTTTGACAAGAATGATCTTCAGCCGTCCCGTTGGCTCTTTCACATTTGAGGATTCCTGCTCAGTTGGCATATATATTACATATCAGCCTTTTCGAATAGCTCAGGAGAAATCCTATGCCTTTCCCTGTTTTTTCTGTTTCTACCTTTCAGCTTTGTCATCATCCTCTGGTCCAGTCATTCAGCAGATCGGCATTCTCACTGCTGTTTCGTGGGAACTCCCTTTTTTAGTTAAGGGAGGATTTAGCTGCAAGGGCCCTAATGGTCTCATGTACCTGTCAAGTTGTTTTTATCGAACTCCTTATTTTTGTTATCCAGGCATTGGCAGCATAAGCACCCTCTTAAAAAGCATGACAGGCTTTTAGATGAACAATATTAGCTGATCAAAACCACCTCTCAAAGACTCAGGGTCAATCATTCATAATGATTTGATCTTAATTTCCCTCTCTGACGATTATTTGCAGGACAACGTGCTGAACATTATCAGTCAGATCATGGATGAATGTATCCCCAACGACCGGGCCAACCGAGACTTTTGTGTCAAGTTCCCGGAGGAGATTCGTCATGACAACCTGGCAGGGCAACTGTGGTTTGGAGCTGAGGTAGTGTATTCCCTCCTTCATCACTCTGGAAGAAAACAGCCTTGCACAAGTAGCCAAACAACTGTATTAAATACTGTATCTCTGATTTATGCTTACAGTGTTCAATGATCTCATTAGTTGTTAACACTGATCTCTTTTCTTGTTTGTTTTTATTTTTGCATAATGTGAGATGTGTAACGACACATTTGTTTCTGTCCAGTGTTTGGCTGCTGGCTCCATTATCATGAACAGGGAGATAGAGAGTATAGCCATGAGACCTCTCGCTAAAGACCTCACTCGCAGCCTGGAGGAGGTGCGGAACATAACCAGAGACCAGGCCCTGAGAGACCTGAACCTGTACCCAGACCGCATGAAAGATGCATTGCGACATTTTGACAGCCTTTTTGCTGAGTTCGAGCTCAGGTAAAACGAGGACCAGAGGCTACTTTTATTCTATATCAATGACATAAAACAGATTTATGATTTATGTTCACTGAAAAATCTTTGTCCAATTTGTGTCTTTTTTCCCCCAATGATCAGCTACGTGTCAGCCATGGTGCCTGTAAAGTCTCCCAAAGAATATTATGTGCAGCAGGAGGTGATTGTGCTCTTCTGTGAAACAGTGGAGAGGTACATTTACAGTGATAAGCATTCCTTAAAATGATAGATATGTTATAAAACCAACAACAGATTTATTTTCTGAAACAAATAAAAGTCTATAGATGTTTTTTTTCATGTTTTCATCTTTGTGCTGTCTCAGGGCCTTAAAGCTGAGCTATCTCACCCAAGACATGATTGATGACTATGAACCAGCATTGATGTTTACAATTCCTAGACTAGCCATTGTTTGGTAAGTGTTACATGTCTTTTTTTAAAATGAGCACATTGTTCTCTGCTTCTTTCCACCCTCTTACAGAATTCTAAACATGCTTTTCTCTCCTTTTAGTGGGCTGGTTGTATATCCGGACGGACCTCTTAACCTCGACCGAAAATCAGAGGACATATCTGAGCTCTTCAGACCTTTTCGCACTTTATTGAAGAAAATAAGGTAAGAGCCTTGAATATTCAACAGCACTTTAGAAGAAAGAGGAATGAGCTTTCCTTTATCAGTGCACTGCAGCTATTTTCTGTCGCTTTTTGCAGAGATCTCCTGCGAACTCTCACCGAGGAGGAGTTGATAACGCTGGAGAGGAACCTGTGTATTTCTCAGGATGGAGAGTTGTCCACGGGCCAGCCGCTGGCCACAAACGGTGTACCCGCACACGTCCAGGAGAATCACTCATCATGCAGCCCTGCTAATGACACCGCAACAAGGGAGGGCGAGAGGGACGAGGAGCAGCTGCCGGTGTTTATCTGTTCCAGCAAAGAGGAGGAATTGGCAGAGGTAGAGAAAGGCTGGGAGGAGGTGGAAACCCAGGGGGAGGAGGAGGAGCAGGAGCAGGGCCTGCTCTGCGAGGAGGCAGAGGAGGCTGAGCTGGCCTGCTCCATGCAGTACGATGAGGAGGAACTCGAGCAGCTCAACATGATGGTGTACCGAGTGGGAGACGAAATGTCCACTCTGCTGTCCCCTCCCAGCCAGGGCCAGTCCCCGGCCCATCAGCCCGGCCGAGAGCCCGGGGTCTCCAGTGGGGCCTCCAGCACCGAGGCCTCGCCACGCAGGACCCTGTTAATCAAAGGAAGGACAAGCATCTCTGCGGAGGAGGAGGACCGGGTCTTCTTCATGGACGACCTGGATGCCGTCCCCAGAGAGGCTTGTGGTTGTGCTGTCTCCTCCTTGAAAGAGTCGGTCCATCCTGTGCAGCACAGGCCTGGACCCAGGCCCGAGTCGGTTAGGAACGGTTGGCACTCTGACACTACATCAGAGCAGCCGCACCCACAGCCGCGCAGCCTGAGCACACGTTGTCCGGTAGCAAAGCGGCCCCCCTTCGCCACTGGCCCCGGTTCTGAGGCTCTGCCTTACAGCAACGGCTGGGAGATGGGCTTAGAAGGGACAGCCTCTGAAACAGCTGAGGTCATCGCCCATCGCATGGGAGGGATGAAGCTGTCCGCCACAGTCATTTTCAACCCTCACTCCCCCAGCTTGACAGAGCTGACTGTGGACAAGCTGCTGCTGCCACGGCCCTCTCCGTCAGAGGTGGAGCCCTGCGGCCCCCTGGTGGCCACCCACTGTCTGCTCAACTCCTGTGTCTGCTGTGGGAGCTGTGAGGACGGTCACGAGGACGCCATCAGCACGGAGACCACAGGACTCAGCATAGGCCTCCCACTGAGGCTGGACAAACATTGTAAGACCTCCGCCCCCGGCACCGTCATCCAGTCTGCTGCTTGCCAGCTTCCGCCCCTCGGTCACGAACCCCACGGCAAGTGTGAGATCGCTCAGCTGACTCCCCCCTCCTCCCGTTGCTCTGTGGCTCCACTGGAAGAGGATTCAAATTCCCAGCTGTGTGAGAAGTGCCTGGTGGTGGCTCCAGGACAGGGGCATCCCTCTCAGGATTATAGTTCTAGCAGAGGGGAGGGAGGCTCCCCGTGCAACCACCAGCTGAGGACTGAAAAGAGGCAGGGCTGGGGCCGGCAGAGGGACAGAGAGCTGGATAAGGACAAGCTGGAACATAAAGAAATGAGGCAGGAAACCAAAGAGGACAGCAGGACAAGCTCCAGGTCTGATCACTTTTTAGAAGTGTATCCCATCCTCAAAAATTCAGCAAAAACTTTTTCTGCATTTCATCACACTGCAGAAAGAGTATTATTCATTTGCCTTTATTAATCATTATTTCACGCTTAAATCTCATTTTCCTTTTTAACATCATGCCTTTGTTTATTTAATCTCAAAATTGATTTAATTAATCTTTGATTATTTATTATTTCCATGTCTTATTTGTTCATTTGGTTGTCTTTAGTTTTCAGAACTCTCCCCTCAGCTCTGTGTCATGTAGTGACTGTGACAGTGTGTCGGTCACCACGTGTAGTTTGTCAAGCAGTGCATACACACCCAGGTAACCCATCATCCTCCCACATTTTCTGACCACATTGACAAAATCCCAAAACATTACTGAATTAGTTTTGTTTTATTTGACGATGTCAGGATTTGATTTTGTTTAAATTCAACAACTGATGGACACAGACTTAGACTGTGGATTCAGTAAGATCGGAATGTTGTATTCTAAACTAACTGCAGCGTGTTTAATATCAATATAAGCTATATAGGTGTGTTTTGCTCTTATATATCTACTGCTGAGTCAATTGAATTTGCATGTTGTTTGAACATTTCATGCCTTCCCTCCCTCTATCCAGCCCTATAAGCAGTCTGAGTCCCAGCTCAGGGACATCAGAAGACCTGGACCACCAGGAGATCCAGCTGGCCCTACATGACGCCAAGCTAGCAGCCAGGAACAAGATCCGCTCACGTTTCCACAGCAGCAGTGATCTCATCCACCGTCTCTTTGTTTGCATATCAGGTAAAGGCTCATCCTCATTTTCATGCATGTTTCGGTCTGTCTTGGGTGGATTTCTGTCACGGGTTTGTGTTTGATGCAGGGGTTGCCGATCAGCTCCAGACCAACTACGCCAGTGACCTTCGCAGCATCCTCAAAACTTTGTTTGAAGTCATGGCAACCAAGTGTGACCAAGGAGACAATGATAAGCAAAAGAAAGGTGAGGAACGTGTTATAGTTTTCATTGCTTTTAATATCCTCCCACCAAAATGGAAGACCATCAGTCGGTTCAGGGAATCTCTGGAGGACTCTTTCCTCGATACTGCCACACAAGTTCAATTTGCTTTTGCTGGGAAATACTCAGTCTGCCTACTTTCTTCAAATAAGTGACTGCAAGGTCCCACCTTTAACTGCTTTGAAAAAGTCCTTTCTTCTTTCTCCGTTTCATGTCCCTTTTATGGCAGCTCTAAACACATCTCACTGCCTGACTGCCATTTCCCATAACATTACCTCTAACTAGGTCGTGACTTTGCAGCTCTGTTTATAACATAAACAGTCATCTCTGAAGCGGTGGAATAAGTTTCCTCTTTGCTGTGCCCAGCAGGTCCTGCTCTGCGCAGTGCCGTGCTGGAGGACTGCGCTCTGTGTCAGGAGACCATTTCCTCATCGGAATTGGCAGCCAAAGCCCGGGAGGGCCAGTTCGAAGGTCAGCAAAGTGTACTTGTCAGCCCCCCCTTTTTTCCAACATTCAGCTGACCGTTCTGATGTTCATTCGCCTTTTCTTATTGCTTCTGTGCAGACCCTCCAGACTGGGTTCCCGATGAAGCCTGCAACTCCTGCATTGCCTGCAAAGCCCCCTTCACTGTCATCCGCAGGAAGCATCACTGCAGGAGCTGTGGAAAGGTTCGGCAGTGCTCTCAGTTTACTGTTCCCTGGATGGAACAAATGTGGAGGGTAACTAATACGTCACTGACCGTGTCGTTTCAGATCTTCTGCTCTCGCTGCTCTTCCCATTCTGCTCCATTGCCTCGATACGGGCAGGTCAAGCCCGTCAGGGTGTGCACCCACTGCTACATGTTTCATGTCACGCCTTTCTACAGTGACAAGGCAGCCATCTGACCCCAGATCCTCTCAGAAACAGCACATTTTGCCACAACAGCATATGCAACAAACAGATGCACAGCAAAGCAAAAGCAACACTGCTCCGGTGACCCTCAATGGTCGTGATTGTAACTTTTAAGTAGGATTTCAGATTATTGGCGTTGGAAAGGAAACGGCAGACAAGAACCGACAATGGGATGATTCCACCTGTCTTTGACAGTTTCGGATGTGAGAATAAAAATTTCAACACCAGTGATTTACAGCCCATCTAATGTTTAAAGGCAGAAGGAATGAGCATGCAGCAGAAAAAAATCATCCTGCGTCAAGCAGCATTCTGTGTAGTAGTATGTTTTACGAAATCACAACATTTTTGTTCCTTTTTTCCCTTTGCTTAAGGTATGAATAAGACTTTTGGCATATTTTTCTATGCTTTAGTGAGCCCTCCCTCCTTTCAAGTCAAGCTCCAAAAAGACTTGGATTATTTAAAAGAATGTTAGTGACACCCATCATGTAAATAGTGATAAATCTGGTTAGAATTGTACTAAAATGTTTTCAGTGAGAGTTTGATATGTATTAGAACCTAAAAGCAATCTCCTGCTAAAGCAAAACTGATACACGGACAAGTTTTCTATGATATTTCCTCATGGTTTTTATGGCGATGAATGTGTAACTCTCTACTACTTTGTCGCTGGAGTCCGCATTCCAACTTGGGCTGTGATGTGCAATGAGATGCTCCCTTGGACTGGATAAAACCAATCCCTCAGACATTTGCAGGTCTTGGAGGCCCCCTAGTGGAGAGCTCAGTGCCCTCCAAACCAGAGCCCCACTCAGGTGCCGCCTCAGAGAAATGCATCCAGTTGCTGCCCGGTTTATTTCACCCCCTCATAAATTCTCTCCTACAATATTGTGACTACTAATTACATTTGTCCCAAACACTCAAGAGGCCAAGCTTTTCTGTTTTGGCTCAGTTCTGACGAATGAAGGAGTGTTGATGAGAGTTAACCTCAGATTGTTTCCATCCTCAGCTCTGTTTGCGCTGTTGGACATGAAAAGATGTTCTGATGCCAGACTGACATCATTTGCTCTCGACTCTATGCTCTTAAACCTGCTCCACTGCTTTTAAAGCATACAAAGTATCTTCCATACTTTTCAGACTCTGAAATGGGCAGCATGGCCCTACGAGTAACAACGTGGTCGTATTTAATTTGTTCTCCTCTTCTCTGACTTGAAGCAGCTTCTCAGGCATTAAAAATCCAAAAACATCCACAACTGTTGCATTAATCCTTAATTGAAAAGAAAGAAAACATTCAAACTTACTTTGTAAAGTTATGCTTTGTCTTTTATAAAGAACAAAAATAATATAAAGTGATAATTATGTTTCTGTAAAAAAGGTAAGAAATATGGATTCATGCAGTAAAGAAAGGTTGGAACATCTGATTATTATTATTATTATTATTGTTTCAGAGCTTCTTATTATTTTTTAAAACTCATTTTCATTTCCATGATAAGAGCTGTGTAAAATACTAAACAAATAATGTTCTATAGTTTTAAATGCGATGTATATTGAAATAAATGACTTCTTCTTGTTAATGTGTTGGCTGTACACTTTTTTAAAAATCACCTAATTACTTATGTGTAACATCATGTTGATAACCCGGTTATGAATGTTAAATGTCATCATATTATAAATGCTCTGCTCTGGGAGTCCTGGAACAGACCATTCTCCTCGCCACCCATAAAAAATGTTCAAGAACAACTTGAGGGTCCAAAAAATGTGTTTTCGAACAGGCCAGAGCCCTCACAATTATGCAGATTTTCATTTTAAAATGCTCTTTACAGGATCATCTGTGCCAGATTGTTTTGACACTTGAACAAACAGATGAATGCCCTCAGCTTAGTAGAGATGGAGGAGGCAGGTAGGTACACATGGAAGTCCATAACAAAGAGGCCGCAATAATGTATCTGGATAAAATTATCTGATAAACAGGTGATGGGTAAGTAACCAGCCAGGCATTGTGCTGGTGAAAAAAGAGTATAAACTCAACTACAAAAGAAGATAACATCAAGCAGAAGGAGCATGAGGAGCTGGAAAAATGTCAAACGGTTTTCTGTCTCATCTGTGAACGTCCTCGCGTGATGGAGGACCTACAGTAGTCCAGCAGGGGGCAGCACTTTGTCAAGACGTCTCTCAGCACTCATCCCTCACCGCCGTCAAAATAGGTCAATAAAGTGGATTTAATTATTTTTTCTTGTTCTTTTTTACGCCTCAAATCAAAACGTGGCCTCAGCGAAGACAAGTATCCGGTGGATTAAAGGTGTCCGTGATGGCCACCGATACATTCACACCATCATTCAGACCGTCTCCAGAGTTGTGAGGAAGGGGACAGCAGAAAGTTTCAGGAGAAAGGGTTAGTTGAGCTGAGATATTTATAATGTGCCCTCTTAGCAGCCTGGCGGGTGTTATCTGTCTGTCCGTGCATTAGGGCCACCAGTCGGGAGCCAGCGGCGCCGTGGTGAGGAGGTTTGCGGGATAAAGACTTAAAGGCGTCCGGCGGCCTCCGCGGGCTGTGATTGGCTGCGATTGGCTGAGATTGGCTGTGATTGGCCCGCGGCCCCAGCGCTGGGACGTGCAACACGTCTCCGCCGCGCGCGCATAAGAAAAGTCACTCGGTGGACGAAAGGGGGACCGGACCAACCTGGGGGGGGGTTCAGTAACAGTTCAGGCCGCCCCTCGCTCCTGTCGTGGCTCGCGGAAGGGTCCGTCGTTAACGGAGCCCTCGGTCGGTTGTTCGCTCCCGGAGAGTCACGCGCCGCTGTGTTGGAGGTCGGTGGAAAGTCGACCGCTGTCACTTTTGATTCATGGACTCAACGCGGACTTCAGCGGAAAGCATTTCTGTCAAAAAGTTGAGACGAAGCTGATTCGGTTCTCTAAATATCAAGGTACGTTACTTCCATATCATCACTGCTTTTTGTTTTTTCTCTTTCCTATCTATGGACCTCCTAAAGTTAACGGAGCCCCACCGGTGACTTTTTACACAGAGTTCAGCAGAGATGAATGTTTTTTTTTAAGGAACATTTAACCAGCTTACATACTTGGAGAATGATTTTTAAAAGATAACATACACGTATAACTGTGTTAATACACCATTAAAGCTTTTTTAAAAATCAATATGAACCCTTTCAAGTGTTTGTAAAAGTCAACGTGAACTCCTGGATGGACCCCAACCCTTCAGCCCTGCTGGGATGGACTGTGTTTCTTTTTAGATTCGATGGTCTGTATTATTGCCATTAACTCTGCAAGATCAGGGACTAATTTTGCAGCCTTCCAACTTATTTTGGGAGAGATTTTCTTTTAGTAAAATACCTTCTAAATGGGTTAGATGTTCATTTAAAGCTAAGATGTTGGGTTTCTCACTATATGTGTTTTTATCTTTCAGACTAAAGTGGGAATTCCTGACAGTATGGATATCTTGAAGATTGTGCTGCTCATCTTTAAGGCTGTTTTACTGACAGACTGTGTAAGAGGTGAGTGCTGCTTTATAATTGCCCCCCCTCTCCCATTTTTTTGGGTCTTAAATGTGAAAGTTACCACTGCGTTTGCGGCTCATTATGGAGCAAAGTCGACTGGCTGGTTTCCTGTTCAGCATGAGGAAAGTCTCAGTTGGGTCGTCTGCGACCGTGAAGTAAGAGATGGAAAAGTCAAAACGGAGAAAAAAAAATAGACATTTCGAAGCGGAGCCCAAAGTCAACATAGGGCAAGGGGAATGGGAGAGGGCAAGTTTGTGTTTCTTTTCAGTCATGGTCGTGTGTGAAAGTGCACATTCACTGCGGCTAAAGCAAACAAACATCATCCGTCAGCTTCCCCGAGTGAAAGAGCACAAGTCAGAGTCCAGCTCTCCTGTGGCTGGCTGGGAGACCAGCCTCACATCAGCCCGTGTGTGTGTGTATGTGTTAATGGCCACAACACTGAGTGAGGTGAATTGGGAGACCTCAGTCCAACCACAATTTACTGCACGATTTATCGAAGCAGTGTCAATACTTGACTTCATAAAGACGACTGACAGGGAGCTTGTCGTCAGGCTCTCTCTATCTGTTCTTTCTCCATCGTTGACCACTGAACCATGTCTGATGCAATTTGCTGCCATGACAGAGGACAAAAAAACAACAACTTCAGAACTAATGAGAGAAATATGAAAGCCAAACAGAGTTTCTCAGAAGAAGGCGCTCTGCTGGAGAGAGCTTACTCCACAGCCCTCATTTTTCTCCTCCTCAGCATGAAAGTGAACTGGAGAGGTGTCTGTAGGTGTAATACCTGCATGTGGCTGCCACGGCTCAAGGTGGAGGGGGCAGAAGGGGGCTGGCAGCGGTTTAGACGAGGAGATTAGATCTGTGGGTCTTCAGACAATGCCTCATTCACAGCGTGACAGCCATGCCTTCACGGCATGAATAAAACCCAAAGCAAACAGGACGGGAGGGCTAAATCAGATTAAACAGGTCATTTTGGATGTTTACAGATTAACATATGTCAGCGGAGGAGAAATCCAGAAGCTAGAAGTGTGATGACGGAGGGCGGGGGCCCCACAGGGCCCAAACTGTTTTAATATCAGATGAGAGGAAGAATTTATTGCAGCTTGTATTTCCAAATTTCTCTGAAAAGTGGTTGCAGATGCTCAGACAGATGCACACATCCCAGTTCCTCTGCTGGCAGATGGTCAGTGAGACGACCGTGAGTGATGGTGGACAATCTGTGAAGTGCAAATCTCCCACCGCTCTCCCAGCAGAAGCAGCGATACAGTGAGCTGTGTGTTACAGTCCAAATACAACAGCTTGACTCTGACGCGCTGTGAAATACAGTCGGGGAGTTCTGACTCGAAACGTTTGCTTTTATAGCGAGGCGAAGGCCAGCAAAGCTGTAAAACTGTCCCCGTAAAAGTTAACAATGTATGATGACATCTCTGACAAATGTAAATGGAAATATAAAGGACAGGCCCCCTTTGACTTATGTGTGAGGCAGTTAAAACGCACTGCAAGTGTTACTTTACTGCTGTTATCTGAACTTTTCAGACAGCAGACCTGAGAAGACAATAAGATTTGGGGCCTGTTGCTGTCAGTCATCAGCTGACATCTGACACAGAAACCCTGCTCTCATGCCACGCCACACAGAACCCCCAAACACACGCTCACACACACACACACACACACACACACACACACACACACACACACACACACACACACACACAAAGGCCCCTCTCCCCCTTTACCGTTGCAACTTTGGGATAAGCCAGGCCTCCCTGGAACCTCCATACTTCCTCCATCCTTGCTCCTTCCACCCCCCCCCC